GATCCGCAGGAGGAGGGGCACAGCAGGGACACAACAGCTTGGGGAAGGGAGGGATGAGGGATGTGGAGTGGGCAAGGGTGAGGATTACAGAGGCAGCAGGATGGGGGCAGGGAGGAAGTGCTGCAGGACATCCAGTTGGGGGCGCGAGGGGGAATATATGCAGGGACAGCTGGAAGGAGGACCAAGGAGATCCCAGCACACAGGGATGGCACTGGGAAAACCAGAGCTCATCCAGGACAGGGACCAAGTGTGGATCAGTATGGGGTCACAGAGGGGAGGTGATGGAGGAGGGGGGGAAATATGGGGGGAGCGAACAGCAGGCAGAGCAAAGAAGCGGGGCAGCAGGTACTCAGCACCCTGAGCAGCCAAACCAGGACACAGTCCTCTCACCCACTCCATCTCCAACCACAGTATGGAGCACACGGCAGGCAAACTGAGCACAGAACACTCATCAGTTTATTTCACAGGAAGCAATGCAGGCAAAGCATAACAGACAGCATAGGAAGCAGAGGGAAATGTGAGAGGTTGAGAGGATGGGGCTGTGTCCATCACCAACCCCAAAGGCTGGTGGGGACAGCCTTCCACTTGCACGCTGAAGCACAGCACTCAGATCACCGGGCGGTCGCTCCCTGTGGGGATGAGAAGGGATGGTGTCCCATGGGATTGCATTCCCATCCCAACCCTCTGCTCTGGGGGTCTCCCTGCAGAGCCCCAGCAGAGCCCAGCACTGGGTGCAGTACCACAGAGAGCACAGGGACCCTCCCAACCCCCAGCCCCACACCGCACCTGTGGCTGAGCTGTTGGATCCACCATCCCAGGCTGTAAGGGAGAAACAGCCATAAGTCCCAGCCCTGTGCTCACTATGGGGCATGGAGCAGCCCCGAGCACCAGGAATGGGAACCCTGGGAGAAAGCAGGGACCCCAGGACCACCCTGGCACCGGGCAGAGGGGGGGGACAGCTCTGCTGTCATCACTCACCAAAGGCAATGTTGTAGCCCTTCTCTTTCTTCCCTGCAGACAGAAAGATGCGTTAGCATAGGTTCGCATCACGGCCAGTCTGGGGGCTCCCAAGGGGACCTCGGATCCCCCCACAGCCCCCGCTGTCCTCCTCACCCCTCTGCTTTTACCTGCATGGCTTCTGTAGATGATGAATCGAACACCAACCACAATGGCGATGGCCACATTGGCGACGATCACCCCCACCACGATGGGAACCAGGTTGGGCTTTGATGGTTCTGGGGAAGAGCGGGGCCGTCAGCAGGGGAAGGGGCAGCCCGGAGCCCCTCAGCCCCACAGCACCTCACTCACCCCACGAGTAGAGGCCGGCCGGTTGCAGGCTGTCGTGCTCCACGCGGCACTGGTACTTGTCCCTGTGCTCCGGCCGCGCATCGATGGTGACCCAGGTGTGGTAGGTGCCGTCACTGTTGGGCACGATGCCCCCCGTCTGGGTGTCCTGGCCCTGCACCTCGCCATCCTTCATCCAGCTGACAGCGATGCGCCGTGGGTAGAAGCCGTGAGCGCGGCAGGACAAGGTCAGGATCCCGTCGGCCTCCTTCCCCCACACTCGCACCTCAGGCCGCTCTGCGGGCGGGCAGCAGTGAGGGCCGGGCTGAGCTCCCCATGCTGAGCCCCCGCCCCACCTCCAGCCCCACACCGTAGCCCCCCCCCTCACCTCTCCTGCCCAGCTCTGCCTTCCTGTGATTCACGTATCTTCGCAGCCACTGCACACACTCTTCCTCCAGGTAAAGCTTCCGTCCATCAAGAGAAGTTGGATCTGCCTCCCATTTCCTCTTGGTGGGAACTGCCTCTGGAACTGCCGCAGTGAACGTCTTCATGTCTTTGTCAAAGGCGATGAAGTCTCTCCCATCATATGCCACCTGATGATACCCCCGGCTGGTGCCGTCCTTGAGGATGTCACAGCCGTACATCCACTGCAATGTGTGAGACCCTGAAACACAGCGGGCAGGGGGTGAGGGGCCCCTCCGGCTCCGGGGTCCCACTGCAGTGGGGATGGGTTGGGGTCCACGGGACGCAGCACCCCGAACTCGGTGGCGCTGTGACGGGCAGCCCCGGGACGGTGCCGCCGGGCAGGGCCAGGCCTGGGGGGCGCGGGCGGCACTGCGCCATGGAGCCCCGCCCCGCACCCACGGAGCCGCGGCCCCGGCCGTGCTCACCGCCGCTCTGGTTGTAGCGTTCCTGCAGCGTGTTCAGGCTCACTTTCCCATTCTGCTCACTGCTCTGTGCGATCCGGGTGTTCCTCTCCCAGTACTCGTCATCCACAGCCCCAGGTGCCTTCACCCACTCGGTGCGGGGCACGTACCTCCGCGTATTGCTGTCATAGTGCACGAAGATCTCGCCGTCCACGTACCCCACATCCACGAACCAGGGCAGCCCGGGGCCGGGATCCGTCATCGCGGTGTGGATGTACCGCAGGGAGTG